AACTCCATCTTCATTATCAGAATCAGTCAAGGTAACATCAACACTTTCTGGAACGGGATTATCTTTACCAAATACCATTTTTCCAACAAAGAAATTGGTTTCGGTGTTTGAAGGTGTAGAAGAATACCGTGAATATGAAATAGAGTAATAGAATTGCCTAATTGATTTTGATTCCCCATACCTCATGATCATCGTTCTTTTTTTTGGGTTCCCCAATTCTAGAACCAACGTTTCAGCTGCCCGATGTTGTTGTTGTTTTTTTTTTTTTTTTAATTTTCAATTTTTCCCGAACGTTCCTGAAATTGATGGGTCGGCGTTCCTGTAATTGGTGGTGCGACGGATTCAGTAGGTTGAAATCGCGATCCTTAGTGTAATCCAATCGACAATTCAAGCGATTAGGGTCGGTCGAATTTGCGTTTGGGTCGCGATCTAGGAAACGATTGGATCGCAATTGGTCCCGTTTTTGGACCGTACGATCTGGAACGAAAAACGTAAGGGGGCAAGCGATCCTAGTAACTATGGTCTGCAGCAAGATGGTGGAAGGTCAATGTACCCAAAGAGGTGGATCTGGTCAATTTTTCTCAATTAGGTAGATAAATTTTCAATTAAAAATAGCTATGCGTTCCTTTAATGTTGTAATATTTACTATCATAAAAGGATCATTTGGAGGTATATAAATGTTAATTTCTAAAAGCTCTAGACTGACATTTGGGTTGTTCCGGCTCTTTTCATTGCTGCTACATGTAACCTGGTGAGCTTCTATGCTTGAATCATCCTTTTTTGCTCTTGATCCTTGATTTTTCCTTCATGTTAGTTCATATATGTGTGAGTTTCTCTATAAATAATGCTCTCTAGCTTTTAAAACTGATGCATACCCCTTTCATTCATAATTGTTCTTTTTTTTTTCCTACCAAATAAAGTATTCGGCTTTATATTTTTTTCATATATTTGTATCATTTTAATTTTTTTTTATCAACACATCATGTATTGGATGATTTAGAAGTTGTAAGTCATGAGGCTACTATTTGCTACAAAAAGTTGAAATTTGTATAAGATTAGCTATTCGATAGATGCATCAAAGGAAGTTGATTTGAATGCTATGAGATTGAGATTTTTAATCCATGTCCCATAATATATATGTGCATTTTACTGTTTTTAAATATTTTTCTCAATAAAGACACTGATTAAAATTTAATTATTTTTGGGCAATCATGTTCAGTTACAAATGATAGAGAGTTCCAAACTACAGACCATCATTTTCATCATAAATATGATATTTCATCTCTAAAGAAGAAAAGATCAGACTTACTCATCCATAGTTTTGATGTTCGTCAATTCAAATCTGCTCTTTCTCACTTCATTCAGTTCTTGATATTATGAACTTCAACTTTTTATGTGTAGGAAGATGAAACAACATTAGCAAGAAGAACAAATAGTGATGCGTGTAAAATGCATAGCTATTATCACCATTATTATGTGAAGTACAATATACCACCCTGAAAAATGCTATGATAAATCTTACCAATAATGAGTAGTGAGTATTGAAGACCCTTAATGCCTCTACACTAACAGAAACCCGTATAATGGTAGCAAGTTTCTGTCTATCAACATTTTATTGGTACTGGTTACATAAAAGTCACAATGAGTGATGAATTAATTTAAAAGAAGTAAAATTAAATGTTAGAAATCCAAATAAATAAATAAAACTCGATGACCAAATTTGCCTAGCGATGATTCAAAATGTTTGTTCATCAATTTTTTTTTTGCTTTTCTCATGTTTGGTACTGTCATAATGTGAAAAGCGTATGATTGAGGTGAGGTTTTTTAATAGGAGTTAATGAATTATTAATTTGTTTCTTTTTAACGTCTAAACTTTTTTTTTTTTGTCTTTTTTTCATGTGATTCAAAATTTAACGTTTACTCTTCACCTTTTTTCTTAGTAAACCATTGTATTTTGAAAAATGTAATACATTAGGGGGTAAAACGAAACTGTATTGCTTATTGGTAAAAGGAGTAAATTATGATGATATTTCTTGATTATAACCCAATACAAATTTATTTAGTTTGATGTTAACAAGTTTTACCTTGTTGCAATTTTTGGTTTTACAATAAGATATTATTTTCTCATTGTAGATGTCTACATGCAACTAATGGAGCTATTTTAGATTATGGATTCCAAATAATAAATTTTCAAAATAAACTAAAACATCAATGATCGACAAGCCTAATGAAAATACTTTTCTTTTTAGTAGAAATATGTGAATCTTTTCTTGATATCAACATATATAAAGTTGAGCCGGACAATCTTGATCTTTTGTGAATATTTAGTAACGTTTATTATTTTTAACGTCTTCTTATCTTTATTATATGACATTTATTTAAAAAGAAAAGAGAAAACTATAATAAAATCCCTACATATTGGTCTCATAATTGATTTAGCTCTTATATATATATTTTTTTTATTCAATTAAGTCTCAAATACCGGTAATCGTGTTCAATTTAACTCTTACATATTGGTCTCATAATCGATTTAGCTCTTATATATATTTTTTATTCAATTAAGTCCCAAATACCGGTAATCGTGTTCAATTTAACCCTTTGACCCGGTCAACAGGTCATCCAACTTTCAAAAATTACATTTTCGGCCCAGTTTTTAAAATTTATTACAAATTTGATCAAAAATTTACATTTTTGGCCCAAATTTTAATTTTTTTTACAAATTTGGTCCAAAATTTACACTTTTTGCCTAAATTTTAGAATTTTAGTATGAATTCATCCTAACTTTAGTCTTTTTTACAACTTTTTTTCTAAAAAGTTTGTTTCTAATATGTTTTTTCTTTAACACTCATATTTATACAAAAAAAAAACACATTTTCACATAAAAATCTTATTTTTTCTATATAAAAACTTTTTTGTATATGAAATATCTAATTATAAAAATAGGTTTGGATTATTTGTGTGATTTCTCTTAAAAAATCAATTAAGAAATTAAAAGTAACCGTAAATTATACTACTAAATTATAGTTTGTCAAAAACTAGTTACACTAGTTATCCTAAATTAAAAGTTATCCTAAATTATACTATTAATATAGAGATTTTAATATGTGTTCTATTTAGTGTATATTCTTTTTTCTATGAGATTTTAATATAGTTGTTTATATGTATTTTTCAATTTGTTGCGTCTTCGTAAATTGAATTATACATTCGATTACATATATATGACACAAGGTATGTAAAGTTGTTCTAATCTCATATATGACAATCCATATTAATTTTAGTAGGAGTTAACTATCAACGTTTGTAATACTTTTTTACATTTGTTAAATGTCATTTTCTGCCAAAAACCTCCTTATCGACAAATGACAATTACTCAATTCTAGATAGTTATTTTTTATTATTACAACAAACAAAATTGACACATGAGTTCGATTTTACAAAGAAGTTTAAATAAAGAAATCCAAAGTAATGATGAACTATATGTATGAACATCTATTCAGCGAGAAACAAAAAATATGAAGTTTTCAATATGTAGCATCTTCTATTATTTAAAGTTTTCCTATAAATGTGATTAAAGAACAAATAATTAATATTAAAATGAGTGTAACTAGTTTTTGACAAACTATAATATAATAGTATAATTTAGAGTTACTTTTAATTTCTTAATTGTTTTTTTTTTCAGAGAAATCACACAAATAATCCAAACCTATTTTTATAATTAGATATTTCATATACAAAAAAGTTTTTTAAAAAAGTTTTTATATAGAAAAAAATAAGATTTTTATGTGAAAATATGTTTTTTTTTATAAATATGAGTTTTAAAGAAAAAACATATCAGAAACAAACTTTTGAGACAAAAAAGTTGTAAAGAAAACTAAAGTTAGGATGAATTCATAATAAAAATCCTAAAATTTGGGCAAAAAGGGTAAATTTTGGATCAAATTTGTAAAAAAAATTAAAATATGGGCCAAAAGTGTAAGTTTTGAACCAAATTTGTAATAAAATTTGAAATCTGGACTGAAAATATAATTTTTGAATGTTTGATGACCTGTTGACCGGGTCAAAGAGTTAAATTGAATACGATTACCGGTATTTGAGACTTAGTTGAATAAAAAAAATATATAAGAGCTAAATCGATTATGAGACCAATATATAGGAACTTTATTGCACTTTTCCCAAAAGAAAACATAATTCACTGTTAAACTAAAAAATAATTGAAAGATCATTTTATTTGCATCTAACTGATCTTTTTGGTTATTTTATTTTTAGCACCTCGCTTATTTTCCTATCATCAAGATATGTTAACTTTAGTGTGAATTGTTGTAAGATATTAATTCACGAATCACTTATATTTTGGATAAAAAAAACGTTATAAAACATATATTATTTATATATTAGAACACATCTAGCAAATTTAAACCATATATTACTAATGTTGTGAAAAAAAAACCATAAAACATAATTATACAGAAAAAAAAATTAATTGGTTTTTAATCAACAATGTACAAATATATAAAAAATGTACAATTATTTTTTTATCCAAAAAATAAAAGCGTTATTTTTTTAAGAAAATACATCAACATACTTCTATATTTAATCCAAATTAAATAGCAACATACTTTTAAAGAGACATTTTTGAGTGACAGTTAAACACCCAAAGAAGATGATTTGTCAAAAGGTAAATTACATTTTGGTAAATATAACATGTTTCCATATGAAAAATAATTGCCCGCAACAAACATCAGACTAGTGTATATATATCTCACAAATTACATATAAACCTACTAACGCTACTGCTAAAACTAAATATTTTGTCTTAACCGAAACTGACTTAACCCTTTAACTTATGTAAAAAAGGATACCTATCTATCGACTCTCAAAAGGCAATGTGAAAAAGGCCCTATATATGGTGGTAATAAGCCCTAAATACTAAACAATGTTTAGTTCATACAAAGTAGAATAATTGGTCTTTTAACGAAGTTGCCTTATCTTGCAACCATATATCATGGGTGTGGAGCTTGGACTAGTTGACCTATGTATGCGAGGTGCCATGTGAGCACCACCATTGTCGAGACATTCAATGTCGAGGAGTATTTGTTCAGTTTCTTGAGCTTCTCTGATACTACAATTTTTGTTCCACTGTCCTCCTTTATCTTCTTTCTCTATTCGAACACCCAATCAAGTATTAAACTCGCATTAGATCAATAATCTTTCTATGGATCAAGAAACTAGAAATAGGAAAGATAGTGTAAATGACCTTTGTTGCTCGAGGCTCCAAGAACATCAAATTAGTCAAATTCATAAGAAAGGCAGAGAGGAGATTGAACCCTTGAAATATCGCCATCTTGTTGGACAAAAAGAAGACGTTTCTCCCTCGGCTCACAAGATACCCGATAAGAGCTGCTCCAACACAATTCGCCATTGCCCTGAAATACACCATGTACAATTCGTTTATGATCATTCTGTACTCTCGCTTAGGTAGACAATTGCCCAAAACACAGCTCGAAAAGAACGTAACCCACACCCCTATCCCGTAAGCTATCGAGAACCCTAATAAGTGACACCAACTGATCACTGATTGTATCTTGTCTGTTAAAACTATCATCTTTCTGGTGGGTTTTGTTAGAAGATCGTTCCAACTAGTTTCCTTTACGATTTTCACTATCTCTTTCACTTCTTCTACCGCTTCTTCAACTTTCAGGCTAGCGTTACTTTCAATATCTTCCCCTATTCGCTTTGGTGAATCGATAACATCCCATTGTCTCATTTTAACTACCAAGTCTTTGAGCGCTCCTTTTGTGCTTTCTCCGATTGTAAACAAGCCTACCGCTTTCCTCACAGCGTTTTTCGCGTTTCCAGCCACTTCCTTGACCTTTTCCAATAGTTTGACTTTAGGGTCACCACCTGATTCATCGATTACTTCTTTCACTTGCTCTTCCAAGTTGCTTGAAACATCATGGGGTTTAGCAGAAACAATGTTTTTTGTCTTCTCGATCACCATCCCGGAATCAGCTTCATGCTATGAAATCGGCACTTTGGTGTTCCCGTCAGGTTCTTCTTCGAATTGGACGACAAATCTGTTAACCTAATAATATTTTGGGCTTTATTTTGTATTGGGTTTTATGATTGGGCCTTTCCGCTAGGAAACCCTAATTAGTTTGTCTATATATTATGTCTTTCCTTTTCATTGTATTGGTACTTCTCTTTGATAATAATATGAAACCCTAGCCGTTATATGTATTTCATTTGTTAGTTTACATGGTATCAGAGCTCGGTTGATTATCTGTAGTTTTTCGTTTTTTTGGGGGCGAGTACTGTTCATCGACACTGTTCATCGGGGGCGCGAGTACTGTTCATCGATTACTGTTCACCGGAGTACTGTTCATGACACTGTTCATCGCGCGGTTACTGTTCACCGGAGTACTGTTCATCGACATCGCGCGGTTACTGTTCACGCGGTTACTGTTCACGGTTACTATTCATCAGCACTATTCACGTGTACTGTTCATTGTCACCATTTGCAATTTTGGGGTATGCCTTTTTTGCTCGTTTCGGTATTTGGTTTGGTTTGATTTGTTCGTTTGTCGGTTTTGAGGGTTTCGTTTTCGTCTAGCTTTGTTGATTTCGAGATCTTGATCATTTTTTGCTACTACTCGTATTTACTATTTGATTGATATTGAAATATGGCCCCAAGAGATGATTCTCTTCAGTCCATTAGTATTCAACTTGATGGCAAAAACTATGCCTATTGGAGTTATGTTATGAAAAATTTCTTGCGGGGCAAGACTATGTGGGGGATTGTTACAGGTGACAAGAAGAAACCAACAGACGAGAAGGCCACTAATTATGAAACCTTATTGGATTCATGGGAGACTGATAACTCCAAGATCATTACTTGGATTAATAATTCTGTCATCCAGTCTATTGGTACTTTAGTTGGCGAAGTATGACACGGCAAAGGAGGTTTGGGATCACTTGGCTAGGTTGTATACTCAGTCTAACTTTGCAAAACAGTATCAGTTAGAGTTTGATATTCGAGCCCTCCAACAGAACAATCTTAGTGTTCAGGAATTTTATGCAGCTATGTCGGATTTGTGGGATCAGTTAGCTCTTACAGAACCTGATGTGTTGAAGGCTTTTAAGCCTTATATTGATAGAAGGGAAGAGCAACGTTTGGTTCAGTTCTTGATGGCATTACGTTCAGATTTTGAAGGTCTGCGTGGATCAATCTTGCATCGTACACCTCTTCCCACTGTTGATTCGGTTGTTCACGAGTTGATTGCTGAAGAAACTCGTATCAAGTCCCATGCTGACAAAGCTCCCAAGACAGCCACTCCTGCTGTCTTTGCTGTTTCACAACGACCCCAATCTTCAAACCAAAATCGTCCCAGAGTTGCATTTGATGAGTGTGCTTTCTGTAAGAAGAAAAACCATTGGAAGGCAAATTGTCCTTTACTGACAAGCAAGGGAAATCAACAGCAACAACAAACAAGATCACCAGCATACTCTCAGTCTTCACAGCAGAACAAGTCTTCTGGACAGTCACGTCCCTCTTTTTCATCTTTTAGGCCAGCACAGTACGCTGCTGCTACACCTTCAGTTGAGAATGAAACAGATTTCACACCACCATCAGCCTTGGATCCACAGATTGTTGAGCAGTTCAGACAGTTCTTAGCTACCAATCCAACTGCCATGTCAGCTTCCATGTCTCATTCAGGTCTGTCTTCATCCAACACGTCAGGTATTCCTTCATCCTTGTGGATATTGGATTCTGGTGCATCTCATCACATGTCACCACATTTTTCATCTTTTGCTTCATTATCTTCTCGTACACCTGTCTCTGTTATGTCTGCTAGTGCTACACCCATGTCAGTAGAGGGTGTTGGTTCTATTGTCACTCCTTATATATCTTTAACAGATGTGTATTACATTCCTACACTTGCTTTGAATCTTGCATCGGTCAGTCAGTTGTGTAAATCTGGTTGTTGGGTCTTCTTTTCTGATTCATTCTGCTGTGTACAGGACATTCGGTCTCGGAGGGTGATTGGGATAGGCCGTAGACTTGGGGAGCTTTATGTCTTGGAGCAGCTACATGTTGCTGATGTTGCTGCATCTAGTGTCGATTTGTCGTCTTTTCGTTTAAACCCTTCATCGTCTCCTTTTTATCTTTGGCATTCTCGTTTGGGACATGTTTCAGCGTCTCGTTTACAGTTTTTGGTTTCCACTGGTGTGTTAGGCTCTTTGAAATTTGATGATATTTCTGATTGTTGTGGTTGTAAACTGGGAAAATTTTCTGCTTTACCGTTTAATAAAAGTGTCACTCGTTCTATTGCTCCCTTTGATATTGTGCATTCTGATGTGTGGGGTCCCTCTCCGATAACCTCCAAGTCAGGAGCTAACTATTATGTTTCATTCATTGATGATTACACTCGTTATACGTGGGTTTATTTTATGAAGCGCAGGTCTGACTTTTTCACCATATATAGTGAATTCAGAGCTCTTGTCAAGACTCAACACTCTGCTGTCATAAAATGTTTTCGGTGTGATCTGGGAGGAGAATTTACCTCCAATGATTTTAAACAATTATTGGCATCTGATGGCACTATACATCAATCATCTTGTACAGACACTCCTCAACAGAATGGTGTTGCAGAAAGAAAACATCGACATCTCCTAGAAACTGCTAGATCCTTACTACTCTCTGCTCAAGTTCCCAATATGTTTTGGGGAGAAGCTGTTCATACCGCTACTTATGTTATTAATCGCATTCCTACTGCATACACTTCGGGAAAGTCTCCTTATGAAATGTTGTTTGGACAACTCCCAGATTATTCTTCATTACGAGTGTTTGGGTGTACATGTTTTGTCTTGAAGCCTCATGTAGAGAGATAAGTTGTCTTCAAAATCAGCTCTTTGTGTTTTTCTGGGATATGGTATTGGTCAGAAAGGTTATCGGTGCTATGATCCTTCAAATCAGAAACTGTATGTATCTCGCAATGTCACCTTTTTGGAGCATATTCCATTCTATAGCATTCCTGTTCAGTCACATGATGCAACCCGAGAGGAGCTCTATACTATTGATCCGTTTAGCATTGACATTGATGATCCACCACATGTCACTGATCCACCACTTGCTGCTGATTCACCACATGTGGCTGATCCAGCACCTATCGTTGATCCTCTGCCTACAAATCATCAAGACCCCCTCCATCGAGACCTTATCGTATAAGAAGTCCACAAAGCTTCCTGACTTTGTCTATTCCTCTTACTCACCGGCTTTTGCCTCTTTTATTGCTAATGTACATCGTCTCTCTGAGCCAACATCCTATAAAGAGGCCATTTCTGATCCCCTTTGGCAGACCGCTATGGCTGAGGAACTTGCAGCTCTTTATCAGACTCATACATGGGATCTGGTTCCGCTTCCACCTGGAAAACACACAATTGGTTGTCGTTGGGTTTATAAAATCAAAACAAAGTCTGATGGATCCGTTGAGCGTTATAAAGCCAGACTTGTTGCGAAAGGGTACGCACAAAAGTATGGTATGGATTATGAGGAGACGTTTTCTCCTGTTGCAAAAATGACGACTGTTCGCACCTTGATTGCAGTTTCTTCCATTCGTCAATGGAAGATTTATCAAATGGATGTCAAGAATGCTTTCTTGAATGGCGATCTTCATGAAGAAGTATACATGTCTCCTCCCCCTGGTATTGCTCACCGACCAGGTGAAGTTTGTCGACTTCGGAAGGCTCTATATGGCCTCAAACAAGCCCCTCGTGCTTGGTTTGAGAAATTTTCTACGGTGATTACTTCTCTTGGTTTTCAACCAAGTAACCATGATTCGGCTCTATTTATTCGATGTACGAATGCAGGGCGGATTATTCTTTCCTTGTATGTCGATGACATGATTATTACTGGTGATGATCATGATGGTATAGAGTCTTTAAAGCGTGATTTGGCTCACCGTTTTGCTATGAAAGACTTGGGATTACTTCGTTATTTCTTGGGGATTGAAGTTGCTCAATCTCCAAAGGGTTATCTTTTATCTCAAACGAAGTATATTTCAGATTTGTTTGAACGTGCACGACTCACGGATAATCGAACAGTTGATACGCCTATAGAGAGTAATGCAAAGTACTCTCCAACTGATGGTGTCCCATTATCAGATCCAAGTCTTTATCGTACCATTGTTGGGAGTTTGGTTTACCTGACTGTCACTAGACCGGATATTGCTCATGCAGTTCATGTGGTTAGCCAGTTTGTCACTGCTCCTACTACTGTTCATTGGGGAGCTGTTCTTCGTATTTTGAGATATTTACGTGGTACTCAGTTCCGCACTCTTATGTTTCCTTCTTCATCCTCTCTTGAGTTGCGTGCCTATAGTGATGCAAATTGGGATAGTGATATTTATGATCGTAAGTCCACTACTGGGTATTGTGTTTTTCTTGGAGATTCATTGATATCATGGAAAAGCAAGAAACAAGATGTTGTTTCTCGATCTTCTACAGAATCTGAGTATCGAGCCATGGCTATCGCCACTTGTGAGATTGTTTGGTTGAGATGGCTTCTTGCAGATATGGGCGTTCACATCTCTCAGCCTACCCCTTTGTATTGTGATAACGAGAGTGCGATAATGATTGCCAAGAATTCAGTGTTTCATGAGCGCACAAAGCACATTGAGATTGACTGTCATTTCACACGTCATCATCTCCAGAAGGGCACTATCTCCCTTCCTTATGTTCCTTCCTCTTTGCAGATTGCTGATATTCTTACGAAGCCGTTGACTACTCCTCGATTCCATTTTCTGTCTGACAAACTCTCAATGCTTATTGCTGTTGCATTGTGAGTTTGAAGGGGGATGTTAACCTAATAATATTTTGGGCTTTATTTTGTATTGGGTTTTATTATTGGGCCTTTCCGCTAGGAAACCCTAATTAGTTTGTCTATATATTATGTCTTTCCTTTTCATTGTATTGGTACTTCTCTTTAATAATAATATGAAACCCTAGCCGTTATATGTATTTCATTTGTTAGTTTACAAAATCGACGACGGTGGTGAGGAGGTGGAGAAGGAGACCAATTCGCTCCGGTTATAAGCGACGATAAAACAAGACAAAGAAACGCAAGATGCATCGTCTTGATCTACAACTGTTGATGTGAAGTTTAAGTGTAACTGAATTCACAGAGGGACGTTAATTAAGGTCAGTCGATGCAAAGACCATGGGCTTTAAAGATAGGGATGAACAGAGAACTTGTGAGATGAGGATCAAGTTTTTGGACGGTTGTGTGCGGCGCGTGCTTGCATGGCATGATGCGTGTCTACGTCACGTGAGTCTGTCCGGCCGTGTATCAATTTGGTCGAATCGAGTTCCATATTTTTGCTGGTGCTCCGATTTAATGATAAGTTTTTGCTCTTTGAAACTGCGATTACCAAAAAGAATCGAATTCTTTTGACGTTAATACGGAAGACTCATGTGGCCGACATACCACAGGCAAAACTCTATCTCCAACGTCATACACTATGGTATTTTAAACTTCGTTTTTTTCATGAAATTACGTTTTTCTACTGACTCATACGACGATTGATTCATTATACATTTATGATTTATGATATGATCCTAGCAAATTTCACCTCAATATAATCAACAGAATCTTAAGATATCTTTAACCACGTGTAAAATGATGATCTTAAACAGTAACCCACTAAAATGGTGGGACACTCTTCAACGATTGGCAAAATTTATAATCAATATTATATTGTTTATATATAAAAGAATTACTTTGTTTTTTCATCAACCCTTTTGTTTTGTTTCCAACCTTTTTTTTTTTTTAAGATCAAATAAGAATTAAATTTTTCAGGAAGTAGTGAACTTCATTTCGTTCGCGCGGGAGATCAGGATTCCCGGTAGACAATGGCTTCTTCTCATCCTTGAAAAGTGATGAGAATCAACGATGAACTTCATTTGTGAATTGTGATGAGTTTTTTTTTATATATATATATATATATATATATATATATATATATATATATATATATATATATTTTTAATTATTTTTTATTTATGGAAATATGGTTGTGATGGATTTTGTTGTTTCTTCAAACATACAAAAAAATGTGTTTTCTCTTTTAACTGAAATGCGTTTTGGGGGTGGAAGGTTGAAAGGATTGAAATAGAATTGGGAACAAAAACAATAATGGCGGCTTCAAGAGACTATGGGTTATTGACGGTGGTGTCTAGAAAGAGGAAATGAAATGCGTTTTTAGAAATCAGTAAAATGAGATTAACGAATAAAAATACATAAAAGTATTATTTTATTATTAATATATAAAATATTAAAAATATATGTTTTTTGAAGTGATGATTTTACCGTGCGATTGGAATAAAAGATAAAATTTAGTGTTAAAATTACACTAGATTGGTGTTTTATTTGATGTCAAGGTTGGATTTTGCCCTAACACATCATCATCTGGCTGTTTATTCAGAGCAAATTAGGAAGTATTCCCCGGCCAATGTGTTCATCTTTTATATGGGCCTAAAACTTTTAGGGATTTTATTAATTATATGTTACATCATATTGAAGATTTCATTAATAATCTTGCATATCAAAAAGCTAAAAGAAGTATTTTCTTTAAATATATGGATTTTTGTAATCGAAAATGTTATATATAGAAGCTAGTATAAATAATTTTCTTTCATTTATTGAGTTATATATTATAAAAAATATTAATGAAATTTATATATTTTAAAGGCCTTTTTTTTTTCTCTTTCGTCCTAGGGTCCAAAATATGTTTGTAACGGCTCTGAGTATCCCACCCATTCAACTGAGGCAGAGACCTCTTGGTTCGAAATCTTCTTGGTAAACTTCACATTCCTTTTCAAAATCCCACCCATTCGAGTGAGGCAGAGGCCTCTTGGTTCGAAATCTTCTTGGTAAACTTCACATTCCTCTTCAAAATGCCATAATACAGTACTACTATTACGTCAACATTAGTGTCATTTACATGACCACCAACCTTTTTCAGCACCAATGGATGAAGCATATTCAACCCAACGTCCATTTTGTCTGGGACAAAAGTTGTTATTTGTTAGGTTTGCATTCTCCATGTTCCCTCCGGATACCAATTCGTCGATATCTTTACAAAGGGCTTTCCATCACCGCTTTTTACTGATTTTAGTTTGAGCATTCATCTACCTCTCATTCAAACTGTGGGAAAAAATTATTATATATATTTTATAATTGTAGATGTTATTATTCTTTGAAGTTTAAACCATGTTATATTATCTGCTCTTGTAGTCTTGGCCCATTGATCTTTGTATTTTGTATATGTATCGTTCTATCAAATGATCTTCTCCATAAAATCATCGCATCTAGATCCATGGCAACACACCTTGACTTGATAAACATTTTCGTGGACAATAAAAATTCTTGTGTTGTGTACTTGAGAACCAATTTTCTCACATTAATATGGATGATTTCCCAAATGGTCTTCGATGATAATTAATTCTTCAACTAGTGGCAGGTTTAAGTTAGACCTATGATGGGGTTGTTAATTTCCTTTAGCAGAGAGTAAAAAAAACTAGTTTCTTGATTTGGTCCTATTTTAAACACACCCTTACATAATTGTATAAAAACGAAAGTACATTGTTATACAAATTGATAAAAATATGAAATATTGTTGTATTATAATAACATCCATATTTGAGGGAATGAAATACTATTTGAAAACTGTCATATGATAGTTATGGGAATGTAATATCCTGTCTAAAAACTATCACATAAACTGTTACAAAACCGAGTTCATTTCCTAAGATTTGGATTTCTAATATATTTTTAGCATAGCAATATAAACCAACCATGGGCCCCGCCAAGGGTTGCCGCCCCTTGGACCACGCACCCAGGGGCGTTGCCCTAGACACCTTAGTGGCGAATAGTAGTGTACTTTTTAACCAAAATAAACTTAAAACAAATGTGCATTTCGCACCGTCCTAATTTGTTTAATATTTATCAAGATGACATTGATCAACAAATTAATCTCATTACACTTAAATAATATTAGTAATACAAAATCACAAACATTTTCTATTCCTAGCATTACCCTACAAGTTATTAACAAACATTGTCAAATCAATATTGTATACGTTCTAGTTATGTATGATCATCATTACGTACATTAGATTTCGAATGACCTTCAGATTCTAGGTATATATAAAGGATGATCAAGTTCATACTTGAGAGTACAAAAAAAGACAACTAATCATATTTACATATTAATACTTGTAGTATTGGCATTCGTGTCTAATAGCAAGAAAGAATAACAAAATGTTTGTCTCTCCATAATAATGTAAAATGCACAAAAACGATACCAAATTTTATAAATATGGAATCGAGTGGCTTAGTATACCTAATCTCCTGTGTCCATAGTTTTTTCAACTATACAAAGAATCATCTCAAATACGATCTTTGTTCATCATCATCAGTTCGTAAAGGAAATTCACAAGTAGAAGATGCATCTGGACGAGGTATAGCCAGCCGATGTTCCTATAAGTAATGAATATGATATCAAATAATATATAGAGAAAATCAAAAAGACCAACTTTTTAAAGTAAATAAAGACAAAAACGAGTAGAAGAAAGTAAACACAGACTTACTCCACGGAAAGGAAATTCATTAGAGTCAAGCATGTGTACAATTTGTCCCATTTTTGGACGCTTACTTGCATCCATATCTATACATCTAAGGCACACCAACAATGCTCGTTTTAAAGCTCTTGGAGAAGGCTTTACATTGATCTTTGGATCTAGCAACTCCTCCCCTTGACGACTCCCCACCATTCCTTTAAACCACTCAACCAGGTTCATCTAAACACAACCAACAAGGGCATATTCGTCAATCAACCAAAATACTAAACAAATATAAATTTGAAATTGTAATTGTACCTCTCCAGGTGGTCGAGAATAATCAACTGGGCTCTTTCCGGTGACTATTTCCATAAGTAAAACTCCAAAGCTATACACGTCGCTTCCTTCGTTAAGCATTCCTGTGCTTGCATAATCAGGTGACACGTAGCTGTGGAAGATGTCATGGAGAATAAGAATTTGGCAAAATTGAGGTGGAAATTAATTTCGGATGAATTAAAGGGGCAAATCAAGAAACTAACCCAAATGTCCCCATTACTCGTGTAGTCACATAGCTTTTATCAGATTCGAGTAATTTGGAAAGTCCAAAATCAGCTACTTTTGCGTTCCAATTTTTATCCACGAGTATGTTGCTTGATTTAACATCACGATGAACAACTTTTGGCTCCAAACCTTCGTGTAAATACGCCAATCTAAACGAAAAATCATATATAATATTAATATAAATGAAATGTATTTAACTTAATTAAGGAGTCTTGTGCACCATAATTTCCGTTTAAAGACGTATTTAATAAGCGTATACCCTTTTGCAGTCCCAATGGCGATCTTCATGCGGATCTCCCAAGTTAGAGGTGGGTTGGTGGGTCCCGTGTCTCCATGCAACCATTGCTCCAGATTTCCATTGTCAACATACTCATACACAAGCAACCTGTGTTCATGGGTGGGAATGAAATGTAACAATGTTATTAAAAAAAAAAAAAAAAAAAAAGTACCTCTTAGCACCTTCTGCACAAAATCCAATTAAACCAACGAGGTTTTTATGCCTTACTTTTCCAATGGCTTCAACCTCCACTTTAAATTCCTTTTCCGCTTGTCCCCTACACAATTTTGACACTCGTATTAATTTTGGTCTTATATAACAAATGAAAAAACTTATTTTGTTAAAGTCGAATACACTGTAAGCAAATACATAGGAAATTTTCTTGAAATTAAAAGAAAATTATTGTCTTCAGTATTCCATAGCTCTTTAATGGAAGATCTGTGCTCGTAATGCACATTTGAAAGTTTTGTACTTCAAAATTGAAGTGTACCTCTTACTAGTTTCAGACATCTATTTTACTGATAGTAACTTATATAAAAATATAAAATTTTAACTAAAGCGGTTAAAGTAATAAGAGATTAATAGGTTCCACCATAAATGATAATGTTATTAAGTTCCGGTTCCACAAAAAAAAATATTATTTTACTTTTGTTCTTAGAGAAATAAAATATTATTTTACCTTTTTTTTTATTCTTATTAATTTTCTTATTTATATAAAATAATGACATGTGGAATTCATTAATTTTCCTTTTAAATTTCATCTCATGATTTTGATATTTATTTTGATCTGCTAGTAGAAAAATTGGTAGTTAGAAAAGGTAAAAGACAAGAGGATATTTGATTTCTCGAATTTTTTTTTGTATTCTTTATATCAAAAATTTCAACATTTATTTGATAACGGTTACCTGGCCCATATATTTATTCAAAAATCCAAATATATATGTTGATTTTTCAGCTCTCGCCTCTCAGATATTTAGCATTAATAAGGTGGCTTTGGGCCTATAGAATTCTAGGAAACTAATAAATAATTATATTGCTATTTTCTTATATAATCATTGAAATGTTGATGTAGAGCAATATACCAATTTGCACAATAAAAAAATATATATTGGTTCCATACTTCCATTACTATTTTTTCTTGAAATAAGAGATTAATAAAGATACCATTTACTTTTTTTTGGCACCTAGTAGAAAAACTTAAATTAGGACAATGGTCAACTATATAAACTTAGATCTAAAAAACTATCTTTATCATTTTTCAAGAAAATTAATTCAAACAAGATTATTAATATTACTAAATATCGGATAAATCATAAATAAACATCCAGATAATTTAATTTTTTTGAAAGCCGGAGTCAAAATGAAAAACTCACCTGTTGTCAAGAAGGTTCTTCACCGCCACCGTGGAACCATCCTGTAAAACTCCTCTGTACACAACACCGTATCCTCCTTCTCCGATCACATTCTCCGCTGCAAATCTATTCGTCGCAATTTCAAGCTCGTTCAAGCTGAACCATCGCCCCCAACCAATGTTCTTCAAACTCTCCGCAGACATCGAAGATGACGCCACATCGCTCCCACTCCCACTACCGCTCGTACCTGTACTCGACTCGTTGCTTCCCGATGGCGATGTATCATCATCTAATTTCCCCTCAACAACTTTGATTATCAGTTTACTCTCGTATCCCTCATCATCATCATCCATCTCAAACATACTGATTAATGATTTCGTCGCTTTCTCATCAGTTTGATCTAAGCATTTCGTGTTCGCTTCGACATTCACCGTTTCCGACGCCAAATGCAACACTTCTGAGCCCTGATTGACTAGCATTCTTCTATTACGCCGTTTCGATTTATGTTTACGAAGGAGAAAGCGGAAGATCAGTAGGAGAACCACTGCGACACCTGCTACTGTAACGGCGATGACGACGTATAGTTTTTGCCCTAGTATTGTTGTTTTGGAGTTAATGAGACTAATACTGTCTTCGGTGGAGGTTATTTTGCCGGAAAATAACATTGTTAGTCGAGATCGGAAATGAAAATGGAGATTTGAAAAAATATGACTTGTGGAAGGAGAAGAAGAAATGGGGAGCATTCAAAGTGAGTGAGTGATTCAGAGTTCAAACTGACAATAATGAATGGCAAAGTTAAAGCGTGGGCAAGAGTCAAGTGATTGCATGTGGTGAAACTGGGCTTGATCTTTGATATTATTACGGGAAAGCCAGCGGATAAGGGAATCAAGAATGCGTACGCTAGAAGGGAATGACAGAATTGCCACACTATAGTCGGTGTTTTACTGTACAAAGGGGTTTAATTGGATGTACTTTTCAAGATGACTATTATCAGAAGACAAAATTATATAAATGGTCCATGATTTATAAAAACTTGCATCTTTAATTTTCTTTTTTTAACGAGTATAGTCCTTGTGTCTTTGTGGTTTCAACTTTTTGTACAAAATGTCCCAATCACATTTAGAGGGTGTGTAGCCCTTTAAGTAAATAAAAAACTATGCTCCTCTTTTTATGTTATATATTATTTAGATTTAGATTATGCGATGAGATGCTCCTTCAAACTTCACTTTAACATTTTGGGATGTTCAAATGGACAACATTTTGGACATTTGAATCAAAACTTTCATAGAACAGCTTCAATCGATGTCCATTAATCTTGTAAATTTTCTTTGTGTCGACATTTTTTAATTTCTACATATCCATTGTGACTCTTTTCTTATATTTGACTTTCTTTTTACGGGAGAATCATACCGGACTTAGACCTTTGATAATAGAAATCATCCAACCATATTATTTCTTGTACTCGTTCATTATGGTGACCAACTCTTCCCTCTTTGACAAGTGGTTGAGTAGGTGGTCGAATAGGCGTCTTCTTTCTCGGGATACGTATCCTTTGAAGGGTCCAACAGATTTCTCGTTTCTGACTCTTGTGATTATTTTACCACTAGAGTTAGTTTTTCAATGGTAGTGGGTGGCTTAACCTCTCTTTCATTAACCTTCAACACTTCCTCTATAGTTTCATTGATATCTTTCTCAATTTCTTCTTCCTCCTTGACATCATCTTCCACTTCTACTTCTTCTTCCTCTTCTTCATATAACACTCTTGGACCATCAAAACTTTTCTCATCTTTCAAAGGAAGGGCACATGCGTTATACCATGGGCTCTCTTCATATGGTAATTTGTTTTAAGCTTCCATTATACTCACTGATTGATCAATTTGTGTTATTTTTGGCTCTAAGCTTTTGAGGCTAGCTTGGGTTATTTCTTGGAAAATTTGGGTAGAAGTGGCAATGTTTTTCACAATATCATCTAAGGACATGCTTGGCATTTCAGTTTGTTGAGGAGGGTAAGGATAGGGTTCTTGGAATTGTGGAGTTGGTTGGTATTGGTTATTTCCCCAAGTTTGGTATGGGTTTTAGTATTGGTTATTTCCTTAAACTTGGTTGTTGTCCCATCATTGATCATGTTAAGACCGATCATAACTCCATTGGTTTGACCAGTAGTAACTTCCCTTTTCTTGCACTTTTTCCCATTATCCTTGAAAATATGGACACATGTCGGAATGATATCCATTTTGGGCTAAAAAATCGCAAAGAATAGGCATAGGTTGCATACTTTGGTCGCTTTCAATCATCATAACTAACTAAGCTAGCTCAGAAAGTTGATCTTCAATGCAGGGAGTGTTCATTTCCAAGCCATATTTTTTTTTCAAATTTAGGATTGTAGATTAGAGTACCTGCATGATGAGATCTAGGCATAGATAAACAAATTGATTAAAAATAAACCAATCCCCGGCAACGCCGCCAAAATTTGGTGGTTGTCGAGGCCAACAAAATTACTAACACTAAATCTTTTACACTAAAATAGTGTATATTGGTAAAGGGGTCGAATCCATGGAGATTGGTTCAATTTAACTCTATGAAAATCTCTTTGTAAAAATACTTGTAGAAGGACAATAAAAAATAAAAATAGGGGGGTTTTTTGAAATACTTGTGATAAAACTAGAATTAAACTAAGATTTAAATAGACAATTCAACAAAAACAAGAGTTTGGTGTAAATCAATAAGAGAAAAGTGGTTAACTTAAGGTTTCCTCACTTGAGCATTTGATGAACATATCATTAAAATCCAATTTTGCAATACTTGTTTTAAATCTTTAATTTGGCTACAGTAATCCAAGAAGCTTGAGATTACCTAGACTTTTCTTAGTTGTTAAAACGGTTAGAGAAGCTCATAACAATTTCCTTAGTCAAAGTCACAATTTCCATTAAGCATGTAATTAGTGAAAGTCAACTAGCATTAAGAACCAAAAAGTCACTAAATCCAAGAGGAGTCAAAGGCTTTCACTACCATTTTGAAGAAAATGTTTTTATGATTGTGTGAAGTAAAACCAACACAAAAGTCATTTGTTTCTTGCTAATTTAAGGATCCTTTACTTAATCAAGAAATTAGTCATATAATCACCACAAGCACACTTAAACTCATGAATAAAACCATACAAGTAGTCATAAGATGTTAAAACACAAAACATTTTCATAAATATTCAAGAACAAGTTCATGGAGTCTTCAATATTCAACAAATACTCAAAGGATTTCACCAAAGTCAACCAACTTTAGTTTAGCCTAGCATGGCTAAACTCAAGAAAACAAAGTAAGAAAAGATTATACCAAATATTTAACAAGATTTAGAGATGAAAATATGATTGTTCTTGACCTTCAAAACCTTCAAAATCTCCGGAGAAAATGCTCCAAATTCGGATGTGCAAAAGTGTAAACAAGTGGCACACCAACATTCCCCATATAAACTTTTAATTGAAATTCTGAAATTTCCCCTACAGAGATGTGCGCGGGCGCGCAGTTGTGCGCATGTAGGTTGCACTGATGGTCCCTGATTGTGGGCTTCTTTGAGTTTTGGGCCTCTACAGCTTAGTCCACTAACCCAATTTGAGTATAATCAAATTCAAGCCATTTTTCTTCAAGTTTACTTCATTTTAAGCCCAATTTGGCTTCTCCAAATCACCAATAGCTCGTGAACTCGCCCGGTCAATAATCTCCACACGCTTGAATATTTGTTCGTTTCTTGCAAATTCAAAGTTCATTTTCTCCAAGCTTTCAATAATCATCAAGCCCGCTCCATGTATCATCTCCACTAGCCATCAAGCTCAAAACCATTGTTGTCTTCCAAGTTCAATCGCCTCCTAAAGATCTCACTCTGCTAGTCTTTTTAAAATATGCAATTATGCTCACGAAACTAGAAAGTACCCGAAATAATCACAAAATAATAAAAAAATGAAAATATACATGGAAATTAACTATTTTTTGAATGAAATATATACTAAAATAAACTATAAAAAGAAAGAAATAAAATGAAACTATCAAATCACCACATGCTTACCTTACTTGTTCTCAAGTAAGACAAGACTAAAATAAATTTAGACTATTTCTGTAATTTGCTCAAATATTAATATGAAACTAATCAAAAATAAATAAAAATACAATAATTATTACAGTTTATAATAAATGCATTTTTTTATTATAAAAAATTAATTTATATTACAATATAAATAGCTAAAAAGTAGAAAATATATAATAATGGTTAAAAATGGAATTATATAATTGTAAACATTAAGATAAGGGTGTGTTTTAAATTTTATATATAAGTTAAAGGAGTTAGAATGAAAAAATATATAAGAAGAATTGAAATTATGTTAGGAGCGCATACATGAGATTGATTGTCCGGATATCAAATTAATTTTTATAATAGTTGTTTATATACTAATCACTAGTTTATAATGCTTGAGAACCACGGTTATAAAACTAATTAAAATTTTATATTAAAAAATCAAATTTATTAATCAATTATAAATTATTACTTAAGAAATATTTTTTAGTTATATAAAGGGAATTATAATCAATGATTTAAATAAATGTGTGAAGTTATATCACCTTATAATCTATATTTATTTTATTTTATTTTTCAATCTAATATTATTAATTTAATATAATTTAAGTGAGAAAATTAAAATTTTGAAATTTAAAATAAGGAATCAATTATTAATTTAATGTAATTAGAGTGGAAATTTAAAATTTAAAATTTAAAATAGATAATTAATAGATTGACAAGTGGGATGATAGGTGATATATAATATTAATGAGGAGTCCTAATTGTATGACACTTATCAATAGGAGATTAAACTTATTCTTTTATTAGAATAGGGATACGCAAACAGTAAATGACACGACGTCATAATTACTAACGGTGGTGGTTTTGGCTTACCTAAATGGTTTTCGCTGTGGTAACATTAGAATCCCTATATGCATATGATACACTTGTAGGATTGTTATGCATCTCAATAACATGTGATTGTAATTTCTTACATGATTATTTCAAATTTCTAATTGTTGCAATGCAAGTTTATTTTATTTTATTTATGTATAAGCATGTATACTAGTATATGTATACCATAGTCTTAGTTTAGTCACGTTGTTAAGAGCAATTTGAATTAATTGAGTTATATACATGCCTCGTATGTCGCCACTCTCGTCACTGGGCGTTCTCACTTTTTCCTTGAGCCGGGCCTTCGACGGCGGCATGGAAGAAAGAAAGTAGTTTTGTTCTAAAGTCGGTAAACGGGCATCAAATTACGTTGCAAAACTAAAAGTATGTTTGGTTACAGAAAATTTTCTAGTTTTTCATTAAAATTTAAAATTTTCAAATGGAAATGAAAGTTTTAAAAACACGTTTGATTTAGTTAAAAAATTTTTTTTAAGAAAATGAAAGTTTTCTGTTTTCTAAATTATATGTAAATTAGAAAAATGATTTTTACGGTTTTTTAAAATCTTTTTAAAATTCTAAGATGGAAAAGAAAAAAAAACATCATAAATGGTCCATGTGCTTTTCCCAGATCTGAAGTTGAGTCCTCATGGTTTAAAAAACATCATAGATGGTCCATGTTCTTTCAAAACTTTTAACGATTGATCATTATTGCTAACTTCGTTAAGTTTTATCCGTTAACTGAAGGACATTTTCGTCATTTCACTATCACAGTGACCATTTATGATGTTTTCATTTATTTTTTAAAAAAATTGAAATAATATGCGAAGGGTCTCTCTCTCTCTCTCTCTATCTATCTATCTATCTCTAAAAAAGTACG